CATAGATTTGGGGAGGGGGGCAGCAGCCTATAGATTTGAGGGCAGCAGCAGCCTTTAGATTTGGGTGCAGCAGCCCATAGATTTGGGGAGGGGGTCAGCAGCCTATAGATTTAGGGGCAGCAGCCCATAGATTTGGGGGGGCAGCAGCCCATAGATTTGGGGGGGCAGCAGCCCATAGATTTGGGGAGGGGGGCAGCAGCCCATAGATTTTGGGGGGGCAGCAGCCTATAGATTTGGGGAGCAAATGAACAGGAAGGGTCAGCAAGGAGCAGAAGGTAAAGAGCACAAAGGAGCACAAAGGTAAAGTAGAAGGAGCAGAAAGGGTCAGAAATGAGCTGGAAGGGGCAGAAGGAGCACAAACATAAAGTAGGAGAATGAGCAGGAAGGGCCTGCAAGGAGCAGGAAGGAGCACAAAGGGTAAAGGAGCAGAAAGAATCAGAAGGAGCACAAAGGTAAAGTAGGAGAAAGAGCAGAAAGGGACAGCAAGGAGCACAAAGGTAAAGTAGAAAAGGGAGCAGAAAGGGACAGCAAGGAGCAGAAAGGGATCAGAATGAGAAAGGAGCAGAAGGGCGCAAAATAAGCAGAAAGGTAAAAGAGCAGAAGGGGCCAAGGATAGAAAACAGTGTCAGAAGAAAAAAAAAGACTGTCAAATGAAGGAGAGGAAAAGGAGATTGGAGCAGGAAGGACAAATGAAGTGAACCCTCCACTTTATTCTGGACACCACATCATAAGGCTTTGGTACCTGGGCCTGGCAGGGAAACGCTGGACCTACTCATCTCCAAAGGTAAAAAAATATCGGTGTTAATGTGTTCACTTTTATTTACTGAGTGTCAGGAAGCACAGAGTGCCGTTGGGTAGGGGTGTTGCTGATTGGCTAGAGCGGTCAGCTGGCACTCTAAGCCAATCAGTAGCTCCCATTCATAAAAAAGTAAAAATATTTTATGAACCGGGAACTAGCGATTGGCTTAGAGCGTCAACTGACCACTCTAGCCAATCAGCGGCACCCATGCCTGACGTCAATCTGCACTTCCTGACACTCTGTTTCAGAAGTCAAATACCACTGAGCGACCTGGAGCTGGAGGAAGCCTTTGGGGTTAAACCATTTGAGAGCGATTTAACCCCTTAAAGGAAAGCAAGCACCCAGGGGCTTCCTGGCATCATAGCATTTTCATTTAGGTGAAGTTGTTATGGTGACCAGAAATGTCCTTTAATTTGCTTAAAGGAACACTATAGTGACAGGAATACAAACCTATATTCCTGACACCATAGTTGTGAAAACGCTATTCACCCTGGCTTAATGTGATAATGGCTGTGCCCCTTCCCTTTCATGACACTGTCAAAAAGGTACCAAGCATGGATGTCATTACAATTATGCCCCCCCCTGGAAAAATTCCTGCGGACGCCCATGTCTGGGCGGCAAGAATTTGCGATGTCCCCCCCCCACATGGGGTCTGGACAGCGCTACATGTGCCGGGTGGTATAAATCCCACCTTATATATGCCCAAGCAGGGGGGATGGTATCCCAGGGAGCGCGGCCATGGCCTGTGTGTGTCTGTCCATGGTGGGCTGTGATGGTTTGGTGTTCTGTGAGCCCCTTCTTGGTGAAGTGTGGTGTGGGGTCTAGCTCTAGGTTGTACGGCCTAGTTGAGTTCTCTCTGGACCCTACCCTCCCCATAAAAAAAAAAAATAGAATAAAAAACTTGCCCCTCAAACCAGTGACCCTGTAAGTATCGGTATGTGGCTAGGCCCCTACCACGTGTCAGAACTAATCCAAGCGGCAGTGAGAGGCCACAGACTCCAGTGGGCTGCATGCAGTCCTCTGGTCTGTTTACCCGCAGACTCTGCTTCCCGACGCCTATGTTCAGGACCATGCCTGAGCATTGAATGCCCGTGCCTTCCCACTGTATCCTGTGTCCTGCATTGTTTCATAGCTGTGCTACTAAAAGTCGAGAATTTCTTTCGCTATGTCACCCGGGCACCGGGTGTGCAGTCCATAACACCGGGCTTCCAGGTCTCGACGTCTCCTCCACGTGCTGGGAGGCCGGGGAGACTGTAAGTGTTGCTGAGGGGGACAAAGATTCATCCATCGGTCCGGGTCCCATTGCCGCTGAGTGCCAGGGTGGTTGGGGAGTGCTCCCCTTCTTAATTCGAATTGAAATGGTGCTTTAAAAGGCTAGATTAGGAACCCGGTGGAGATAACCGAGTTATTATGGTCCATCTTGTTCGAGCCCCAGGCCACGCCCCTCCCATGCCCCTCCCAGTTATCTATTATATCTCTGACCTGTAAAACATTGTATTTCCTAAACATTTCTGTGAAGGGCACACATAAATAAATAAAAAATATGTAACTTTACATCATTTACATTTTTGTATTTATTAACAGCAAGCTACCCACAAAACTGCAATTTTATCTGACTATGCCTGCTGTGCAATCCACGTTTCAAATAGAAAAAAAAAAATGCAAATGTTGAGTTTCTGATTATTTAGACTAAAAATAAACACTTGTATTGGG